CGGGTAACGAAACATTTGCAAGAAAACAACCAAGCTCAGAGAACCCCAAGGACTCCACTGCTCCTAATGCTGTGCTACTCTAAAGTAGAGAGTTTTAGGCATGGAGGTACCCTGCTCTTATCCAGCTGGTCTTCATTAAGCTTCATCTATCTGCAAGACCATGTAGGACAGTGATCCCAACCTCAGCAACTTTGAGATATGTGAACTACAATTCTTCACAATGGCCATGCTGGCTGAGGAGCTCTATAAGAGTTGAAGTCCACATGTATTAAAGTTGCCGAGATTGGGGAAGGCTGATCTAGGCATACTGAGCTCCTTTCAAGAGATCCTTATTCCCACCTCCAAAAAAAAGGGCTCGGTGTGTGTGATCCTATTGAATCTAGATCAGAGTCCCAGGCTGGGGCTCCTGACTAGGAACACTGTTTCTGGCCCTTATTCTGCACAAGAACTGGCTAGAGGAATGAGACTTCTTCAAATGAGACCAGGACACTCATCCTGTCTAAGAAATTAGAATGGGAGAGAGACAGGGAGGGAGGAAGGGAAAGAGATCCCCTCAACTCAGAAAGTTAAAAATATCTCTTCTGATGATTCATTGTATTTATACTAGAACGTAGATCTGAAATATAACCAAATGCAGATGTCCAGCAGCCTAAAAAGAATTACACAACCATTTGCAGTTTACAAATGAATGGATATTAATTGCACATCATGGGTGCTGAACAAACAAGGTGGAGATCTCCCCCAGCCAATTCTCAGCTCTGAATGAATATGCACTCATTAATCGTTATTGTCATTTAGCAATTATCAAATTGGCCCTAAAGCCTAATGATTTGCTACTTCCTGCTGTTTATTCAAAATTATCATATCATATGCCCAAACTCAAGCTGTCCTACATCACGCTCTTATGCATATTTACTGAGGAATCAGCATCACTGGAATTTCAGTGCAATGGAACTGGGGTTTACTCCCTAGGAAATACCAATTGAGCACTTGGGCTCTGTTGGTCATCTCACTAGGTCACCAACACGGTGACCATGGCAGGGTTGGGCTGAAAATTGCTTTTCAATTTTAATTTCCTCCGAGGCTTCCCTCCCCCTCCCCCCAACATTTGGAAAAATAAGCTGCTTCTGATTTTTTCCCCCTCAAGGAAGAAAAAACATTCAGGGAATGCAGACTGTGTCCCTTAGTTACAAGGTGGCCGAATGATGGGGAGGAAGTAATCCTTTCTCCAGAGGTCTACATCCTCCTTGGGTGGCCACCAGAAGTCCTCACTCGCAAAGGGAGATGTAAGGATTGAACTCCATCTATGGGGCTTTTTCAAAACAGCCCATCGAAGCCTCCAGAGAGGCTACAGAATGGAGAGGTTTGGTGGAGGGGGGGGGGGAGACCAATATTTTCCACCATCATGCAACAACCAAGGAAGATCAAAAACATCAGGAAAGCAAATTGCAAGGCAACTCCAAAGCTCTCTGAGAATGAAAGATAGAAGCTCCTTTCTCAGGGGAAAAGCATGTTGGAAAAAATGCTTGGCACTGTTAGAGCAAACCAGCCTCTTCTGGTGCTGCCTGTCTGTCTAGCATGCACTGATGTTCGGAGCTCCCCTTGGGCTACCGTGAATATTGCTTTAAGGTTCACATCCCACGTCCTTCCTCACCTGCTCGCTCTCCCTCCTCCTTGCTAGTAAATCATCTCTTCATCTTTATCTGGTGTGAATTACCATGGTAACCAGGTACAGTATTAAGAGCTTGATATGCTAGGAGTCCCATCCCAGCATCTTTTCACTTTTCCAAATAAATCATTATTCTTGATCCTACTTCTTTACATGTGTAGACCCGCGCACATTCGTATTTTCCTCCAATGCATGTTTCTTCTACAGATGTATTTTAAGGCCACTGTTTATATGGAATGAGTAGATCGCTAAACTGGAACTTCAATGTTATTGAAAAAAAATAATGGGAAATGGTATACCAAAGTTTTAAATAAACATGATTTTTTTAATGGAAAATGGTATATTAATGCTTGAAATAAACAGTTTTAAATGGGAAATGGTATACCAATGTTTTAAATAAACAAATACATTATTGATTAAATAATCAAATACACAGTTTGAGTACAAACTGTGGAGAAACATTGGTCTCCCATTCTGCAGTCTTAGTAAAATGCATCATTGTTCAAGGACTCTACCCAACGGCTACCTGGCAGGCAGGTCTCCTTCAAGACCCCAAACACTTATTTGTTTCTGTCCTCCCTCCCTCCCTCCCTCCCTCCTTGGTCAAGTCTGTTCTGGGGCTTGCAACACCATTTCATTTATTTCTGCTGAAAAATGAAGTTGGAAGGCCTTCTGGGGCAGGAACTTCTAGGGGCATATTTCAGCCCTGGGGCCACAAATGGCCCACCTCTGTGGTGAGGTCATAAGGAAGGGTGCCCGCTCTCAGCCCAGGTGCTGCTATGCTTGGATATCAAAGCTTCAGAACAGACTGGAGCAATAATAAGGAACCCTACTCCACCCATAGCTAGCTAGAGCCATCAGGTTTGGGCTGCAGAACTCCACATGACCACTAGGGGGCAGCCTGTTGGCGTTCTCCTAGCTCTTGGCTATTCCCTAGTGGGCACCTGGAGTTCTGCAGCCCACATCTGCTAGTCCGAGGGAGAACCAGATGAATTATACAGTAGGTCACATACAGCTGAAGGTTTTTCTAACTCAACCAGTTCCTGGCACTGTTTTAAGCTTCTCCCTTGGCATTCATTTCCTAATGGCAAGCATCCATCTTTTTCTTTGCTTGCCTCCTTCCAACTATTGTATGGGGAAGGGGGGTGATTTAAATAAGCATATCCTGCAGAGAAAATATCAGATTCAAGGAGCGAGGGGTTTAGATCAGCCTCCAGGCACTCCACAGCAGCTTTATTCAGAAATCCACAAGTAAATCCTGTTTGCTTTTGCCTGCAGATAAACCCACTAAAACTGGGGCAACCTATGGCCTATCTACCTTCTGCTCACTTTCCACGTTTGCTGCTGTTTATTGTTTTTCTCCTGGCACACGCATTTGATACAGCTGGACATACAGAAATTAGCGTCGTTGCTCCCCTCGCTAGCACTTCATGCAATGCCAGCAGATCAGCCTGCTCTGCGTGAGACGTTTCACTGCCAAATTTGCAACTCGGGGTTGGCTGATCTGCTTCCTGGCATGCTAATAACCTGCTTGCCGCTCTCCCAATTAGAGATGACGGGGAGGGGGAGAAGAGGAACAAAACAACAACAAAACAACAACAAAACAAACAACAGAGGAGACTTCACTGCAGCCTTAAGAATTTTCAGGGCTATTATGAAGTTTAGGAGCTGCATGATTCCAGTTGACCACTAGATGGCAGCATATTGATGGGTTTTCTCTCTGTCGCCACCTAGTGGTCTCCAGAGGTATTTCAGCCCTGATCTGGTACCCTTAAAGAAATTTAGGTGTGGTTGGTTGGATTTTATTGCATCTGATTTTGTTTTTTTAAACTCTCTGAGGCATTCTGCAATATATATCCTGCAAAACCATTTTTGTTTTTTGTTTTTTTGAGCCCTTTGAGCCATTCTGAGGTGGAAACTGGTCATCCTCTCTTGAAAAATATCTCCGTTCCATCACTTAGCATCATGGCAGTTGCTGTCACGTCATGAAAAATAGGCCAAGCTTCTGCATGTAACGTAGTTCTCCGAAATGCCAGCAAGAAAGCCTTCGTCATTTCCTGAACCAAAGTTCAGAGTTTTCCTCTTAATGGGACACTTATTTGCTGTAACACTCAGTTTCTGCATGGGAAATATAAGAAAATAGTAACATTCAGGGCAGAAAAAATATTCATCATGATTGCTCCATCATGAAGCGGGCAAGAACCTGTGCTCTGCAATTTGTGAAACATGCATTTAGAAATATAGCCTATTTTTCAGGACATGGAACCCAATTTTTCCCACTTCAAAAAAATGAAAAAATAAAAAAATGGGGCTGTGTTCTTATCCTTACTATTGATGAGCAGAATCATGGTTTACTCAATCCCATTCTGAATCATGAAACCTGGTCATTTTTTCACGCAAGGCCATTCCGCTTAAGGTATGTAACACCTGTGTTATGGGAAGCCGCTTATAAATCCATAAATATTGCCCCAATCTTAAGCAAAATGAACTAGTAAAGTCTTTCCCAACCTGCGTGCTTGCCAAACATGCGACACCAGCTCCCAGAATCCTCAGAAATAGCCGTGACTCGGGAATGCTGGGAATTGATGTCCCCAATTCAGGAAAGCTCACGGTATGGGGAAGACAGAGCAAAGCTTTAACTGAGCAGGACTTCTCTGCACAATTCAGCCGTTAACTGTAAGAAAGGGTGGCATGAGCCCAGGTACTGTATTTGCCAGAGGGGTTGGAGTACAATTCCCATCATCCCCAGCCAGCCAGGGGATGTAGGGGGCTTGTAGTCCAGTCCTCCTCTAC